CGCTCGCCGACTACGGTCCTCCTGACTTACGTCGCCCGCCGACTACAGTCTATCTGACATCCGTCGCCAGTTGAATACGGTCCTCCTGACTTATGTCGCCCGCCAACTACAGTCTTTCCAACCTCCATCGCCCGCCGACTACGGTCCTCCTGACTTACGTCGCCCACGGACTACAAGCCCTCCGACCTCCGTCGCCCGCCGAATACGGTCCTCCCGACCAAACGAATACGTCAATAGTAACTCTTTGTATTCACATCATGTAATGTACTCTATAAAATGTACATCAAGCTAAGGCCTTCTCCAAAGGAAGGGCCTCATTTGTAATCGACTGCAATACTAGTGGATTCATTCAAATTGGGCTAGGCCCCGTGGTTTTTCCCCCTTTTCACGGGTTTTCCACGTAAAATCTTGGCGTCTCATAAATGCTAGACCCTCTATCTTATCTGATTGCGTGCCGGATTTTCGTACAATGCTAAGACGATAAACTTTATATTTCTCTACCGTCGCGAATACTCCTAGACGCAACAAGTATAAAAAACTTTATAAATTTTACTCACCCGTGGATCCCATATTTATTGATTTGGGTTAGAATTTGAGCATTATAATATTGACTTTATACATGACTATATAGATAATTAGACAAATATAATAATTGTCTAGGTCAATTAGAATATCTGAGTTGAGTCAACCACAATCCGTTCGTTTGGCAATATTGATGGTCGAATATCCAGGTAGATGTTCAATAGTTTCCCATAGAAAATTGCCCCCTTGAATAGTCGATGAGGCCAATTTCATCGATTATACTACTAGAGTCAACCAATGGGCTGCATCGCCTAATTGGGACGAATTCTTTGATTATAATCACATGTTTGAGGTGAGTTTATTTGAAGACTGACTAGTCCCTCTTAAGTCAAATTCGAGTAGATAGAATTTTGCTTGGCTTGAATCCAATCGACTTAGGTTGAACCAGCCTGACTTGGTTTAACCCCAGTTTAATGAATAATTACCAAGGTCTTAAAAATCGAGCCGGACCAACTAGCTTAACCAGTTCAACTGGAGTCGATCAAGTTACCGGTATGGTTCGGTTTGAAAATTAGAAATTGCTTTGAACCCACTTCTCTCAATTTGAAACGTTGGGTTGATCGAAAAACCGTCGAACCGGTTAGCCAATTTATCATTATCCTATTACTACTGGACATTCTGCAACAAAGAATTCATTCTTTATTCTCTTCAGTAGTGTTGAAGATTATACATTTCTGAAATCTACATAAAAATTATACCAAAAAGGGCTGCTTAATTGAAAAAGTAACCAAGGAAAAACAAATCAATCACTAAGCATGCCATTTTTTTTTTCTTTCTTTCTTTTTTTCTTTCACAATTATGAATATTTGTTCTCTTCCACACAAGTGGTAAATAGTGCAAATAGAAAAGCCATTAGATGCTTTAGACATATATATCATAGTCTGTTTGGCATTGGGATAAAAGCTCCATGGAATCCATAAGGAACTCTCTTTGGTAAAATTATTTTTGCAACAGGATCATCCTTGAAGTTTTTGGCATCAATTATGTGAACCTGCAAATGGGAAAATATAAGTTACATGCGTTCTGGAATTACAATAAGGCTTCATTTGGGAAGGCTTTCTCACCGTTTCTTAAAACAGCTTTTTAGTAAAAGAAATTTTAATTTTTTAACTAAAAAGTTACTTTAAGAAGCAATAAAAAAACCAGTTCCAAACAAAGCCTAAATCTAATTCAAATCACAGAGAGTAAGCCAAATAGAAAGAAGATCAAAGCATAAATTACTCATAAATTTATATATATGTTCATCTAGTTGATGGCTACATCTTATTGTCAAGGCTGTAAATTTCACTATGATTTCAATTCTTTAAGTTTTTACTGCCATAATTTTATTACAGTCTCATTTCAGACTAGAAAGAAGATTGATGTGCTTGAAGAGATTTAGGCTTCATATGAGAGGGCTTTTTTATTGCTTCTTACAATAGTTTTCTAGTAAAAAATTAAAATTTTGCTACTAGAAAGCTCCTTTAAGAAGCAATTAAAAAACCGTCACAAACAAAGCCTTAAATGAGTACACTAATTCACCGAAAGCCAGATCCAGTATGGTCTAAAAATGTTGTTCCATTAGAATATTCAGGAACAAGTGAAAGCTCTTGAGTTTGAATGAGCAGATTTTTCATCTTCCATTAACCAAAATTTTGTTTGGGAGAGCTTTCTTACTGCTTTTTAAAACAGTAGAAAAAATTTTAGTGCAAGAAACTTTTGTACTAAAAGTTGCTTTAGAAAGCAGTCCCAAACAAAGCCCAAATAAAGTGGACGTAATGTATTACTATTCAAAGCACAAAGTTTAAGGAAAAAACTTAAACATGAGTTGAAAGCGTTTCAAAAAGGAGCATAAAGTTAATATCTTACTTGAGATGTATTTGTATGTTCGTTATGAACAAAAGAGATTATCCAGCCATCATCTTCCTGAACACCACCCAGTTTAGAAACAAATGCTGCTCCAGAGCAAAACTCATTTGCACCAAGCGGGTGTCTCTCTACCTTTACAGATCCACCATTATCATTTTCCTGCTGCTGAAGAGCAAGCCAACAACATTACAGCAAAACAGTAAACTGAAAATAAATATATTTCTTTTTATGTTAAGATCAAATACCATTGTAGTACTATCTTTCTCATCAAGGTATAATTTCATGAGGCCTCCATACTTGGGCAATGCTACAAATGGTTAAAAAAGGAAAAAAAAATCATCAGTAGCATGTGATTTTAATGTGCATATATTCACAAGGTTTTTGTTATGAAAGGAGTTATCAATTTAGGCTTTGTTTGGAACAATTTTTTTATTGTTTTTTAAAGCAGCTTTTTAGTACAAAAATTAAAAAAGCTACTTTAAGAAGCAGTAAAAAAAAAGTCTCAAACGAAGCTTTAGTATTTTAATTACCACAGATAGAGCTTGCTACAGAATCTACAACTTGTGCATATGCATACTGGTTGTGCAAACCTACAAAGAGATCATTGCACATGTAGAACTCAATAGACAAATCACTTCCAGTTAGATATCTGTTCCTAACACTCCCATTTTTCATGTTTAATCTCCACTCATGTAAGCGGAAGTTTAAAAGCCCTTCATTGGGATTGCCATCACAATCTTCACCTGCTAATTTAAGTTTGAAACCACTAGAGAACCACTGGCATTTGTTTCTTCCGAGATCGGGGCCGGGAATTATTGATCCCCGCGATCGACCACCCCTTACAACAACCTTAACCAACAATTAAAAATATATTAAGCAAAAGGATGAGGAAAACATCAGTTGATCTAAGTTTGAGATATTGCTTCTTATAAATAGAAAATGGCCAACATGTAGATCATCAGGCTCAACACAAAATCTCTGGTTTCTAAAAGATCATGTGGAAAGGACATAACATTTGCTCTGGATTTACAGGAAATATTAAATCATACTTATACATGTTACTAAGGAGGCTTGCATTTTCCACTTTTTTCAAATATAAGTAACGTTTGAAAAAACAAGGGATGCTTTAGGCTTCGTTTAGGATGGTTTTTTTGTTGCTTCTTAAAGCAGCTTTTTAATATGAACATTAAAATTTTTATACTAGAAAGCTGCTTTAAGAAGCAACAAAAAATCGCTTCAAACGAAGCCTTAATCGCATGATAAAGAAACAACATTTTCATGAATCGAAGGACTTAGATTCTTGATTTATACCTCATCTCCATCCTCGTAGCAGTTGACAAGGTGCAAGGTACAGTATGGTTCAACGTCAAACCACTTAATTGAATCAGAATCCCCATAGCGAGGCATCACACCAATTCTTGCATAACTTTCTTTCTCATACTTCAGCAACCTAAATATTTAAATATATTTGCAGACAATTCTGAATGAGCGTGGTAATCTGAAACATTTACTACAATATAAATTAAATGATCAATGCTTTTCACCCATAAAGTCTAGAACATTTCAAGATATTCATATGGTATATCATTTGCAAAAGGAACCAGGGGATCAGTTGGGTACCACGTAGCTTGCAGGCAACCTATCTTCACTTCATATCAGTGATTCTTCCATACCCTCCTCCTTTAAGTTTCTTATATCCAACATCAAAAATATAGTTCACAATGAACTCTCCCATGACATCTACCCATCTCAAATACTTAAACTATTCCATGCCAACGGCTTTGCTGGATTCCTAGATGGCACAACAACAAATCTTGATAGACTAATCATCGATTCCAATGACCAGTCAAAACCCAACCAAGCATATAGCCAGATTCGTATTGACCAAAAACTTGTTGCAGCCATTTGTTCCACATTTAACTGCAACCATCCTCCCATATGTGATCCAACTCTAATCATGCCATGAACTTTGGTGCATCATTGAATGAAAACTTCCATCTTCAAACAAAGATCAAGACTCAAGAGTGATTTAATCTAAAAAATAAACTCCATAACATATCAATGAAAAACCTATCGATGACGCATTACCTCACAAAAATCAAAACCTTAGTCCATGATATAGCTACAACCAAATCTATAGTAGACACCAAAGACATGATTTTATACAATCTTTAATATGCTTCAAAGTTAGTATCAAGCATTAGGGTGTAAGTGCGCCGAGGCGACTCGTGAGCCGGCTCGAACTGACTCAATAATGAGCTCAAGAGCCGAGCTTATCGAGCCGCAAGCTCGAGCTTAAACTTGAGCTTGATTATTAGATGAGCTCTAGTTCGAGCTTGACAAAGCTCGACTCGTGAACTCGCAAGCCGGCTCGTACATTAGTTGTTAGAATTTTTTTTGAAAAAAATTAATGAATGTTTTTACGTGGTTTGAAAACATTCGAGGCGTTTAAATTGAAAAAATATACTACATGATACTAAAGCTGTTATTTTCTCCTAAAGCTATTATTTTCTTCAAAAAAAATACTAAAGCTAAAATTTATTATCATTAAAGGTACAATAACTTTTACAGTTTATATATATATATAAAGAAAAGGCCACATTCCAAGCCCCAAGGTAAAAGAAGTTGCCGTTCTTCTTCGACACCTTTCTTCTTCTCCCGTTCAAAGGTAAAAAAAGTTGTAGTTCCAACTTTTCTTCTTCGGCACCTTTCTCTTCTTCTCCCGTTACTTGCGAGCTGGCTCACAAGCCCGCCTCTCTCACTGCGAGCCGAGCTCGAACACACACATTAAGCTCGACTCGAGCTCGAGTTCGAGCTCACGATCTTGTTGGCGAGCCAAGCTCGAGTTAGGAAAAGCTCGAGCTCAACTTGACTCGTTTACACCCCAATCGATCATTTAAAATATCTATCCAGATAAAACTCACTCCCATCATTCTTGAATATTTACACTCACTACTCATCAGTGCAGAAATTAATCTGGCAAAAGAATCATCCAAAGAATTATCATCTCTAGAACTTCAAATTGCCAAGAACTCCAACTGAGGCTGTGGCTAGAGGGGTCGTGGACGAAACACATCACACCAAGCAAACCGAGGCACCTACCAGGAAAACAAGGAGGTCGACTCCCAATTGCATATTGTGCCGAATCTATAACAAAATATGTCATGCCACATTCGAATGTTGACATGAAATGAATGCTTAATACATGCTGCAAACCCTCCACAAGCATCTAAAGCACTGATTGCTACATCGAATAAATCAACCACCTAATGGTTCATTGATTTAAGAGCATCACCACATCTTACTCCTCACATAATAACCTACTGCAGCCGGACCAAATAACATTTGGAAATGGTGGCGCTCTTCTAATTTCGCACACCAATAAAATCTATTACCGACACCAGACAGTAAGCTCTTTCTTACAACTATAATTCACATCCCTCATATTTCCCACAACCTTCTCTCTATGTCCAATCTAACAACTGAAAATATGTTTTCATCTCTTTTGACACTTCTAATTAGCGTATTAAGCACATTTAAGACCAATCAACTCCTCCACTGACCTTGTCATAATGGTTTGTACACAGTTCAACTTCCAAAGTTGTCGCTACCATGAACTCACCTTCAAGTCTTTGGCACCAACAACTAGCACATCCTCATAGTCACACTTTGTCTACCATTTCTAAGACAAATAACTTTCTCAACATTCTCACTACTTTATCTTTTTGTACTTCCCATAATTCCGCTAAAGGCCATAGATTTCCTTATTCAAAATCTAACAATCATTATTAAAAACAACAAGAGCAATACATTCTGATGTATGGGGGCCTTCCCCATTAACTTCAGTTCAATGTTTCAAATATGATATTATCTTTGTTGATGACTTCTCTCTATACTCATGGTTATTTCCAATTTTTACAAAATCTAAAGTTTCATCACACTTTATAAAACTTGAAACTATACTTAAAAAATAACTCCCTTATAAAATCAAATTTCTCCATACAAATGGTGACAAAGAATTCCTCAATAATTACTTAACAAAATTTTCTTCAGACTCATGGCATCATCCATCAAACCAGATGTTCATGCAAACCAGAGCCCTCATGGAATGCAAACACAAGTGCCTTCTTAAAACAACTCAGTACTTTACTTGCAGCTAGGGGTGTAAACGAGTCGAGTTTTAGCCCTTATCGAGCTCGGCTCGTTAGATAGAAAGCGAGCTCGAACTCGAGCTCGTGTCACTGTTAACGAGCTCGAGCCGGCTCGCCAGCCATGGGCGAGAATTTTTAAATTCAGGCGGGATTTTTAAAAAATTTTAAAATTAGGCGGGATTTTTAAAATGACAATTCATTAATGAGCCACAGATTAATATATATTATAATATAATTTATATATTATTTTAATAAAATTTACTGTACTAGCTTCCCAATATATATTATAATATATTTTAATATTATTTTGAATAACAGCTCGGCTCGCGAGCTCGTTAACGAGTCGAGTTCGAGCCGGCTCACGAGCCAGCTCGGCTCACTTACACCCCTACTTGCAGCTCATATTCCCTGTGACCTATGGTTGGACACACTAATGACAATTGTCTTACCTCATAAATTGAATGTCATCCAAAAAACAAAGAAAAAATCCCCTCATCATCTTTTGTTTCAACAAAAACCAAGCCACATTCGCCTCCACATATTCGGCTTCGCATGTTTTCAAATACAATCTCCACTGACTCATCACAAACTAGCACTTCATTGTGACACGAATATATATATTGGGTACCCACCCACTCATAAAGGATATAAATATCTTAATCCACTAACCATCAAGCTTACCATCTCTCGACATGTTATCTTTGATGAATCAACTTTCCCATACAAAACTCTAAAGCCATTGCCAATTCAAACTCCTCTAGTTCTAAGTTCCCATCTACTCATACCTAGCTCTCACTCTTCCTCCTCTTCCAAACAAACCTCACCTCAACCCAATCACAGGCAACAACACCCTTCTTCACCTTTTGCTGATCATTCCAACCGTTTTAATCCCATTGCCACTTTATCCCCTATATCTCCTACTACCACCATACCCCCTACTCAATAACAACCAATACAAAAGCAAACTAAAAATCATCCAAGTCACCATATGGTTACAAGATTCAAATCAAGGTACCTGAAACCCAAACAAATTCTCATCTTCTCGATTACACTACTTCAGCAATTGATCCAACCTCATACATGGAAGCAGTGAAACTTAAATTGTGGCATCAAGCCATGCAAGAAGAATTTCATGCCTTACAAATCAAGGATTAATTATAGGGGCTTGCGCCTATAGGAAACCAGAACTCAGATCATAAAGTCCTCACAAAATGAGGGCGAAATCTCTGGGTAGTGTCTTATCTACAAACCCATCTGCCTTCCAAAATTTACCTCGGAACTTAGTCTGTTAAAACTCCCTCGCCGAATAGGAAAAGCGAGCGGAGGCCGGGGACGAATTTTCGGAGCCCACACTTGTCATGCCTCCTTCCAAACAAACCATTCTTGGTTGTAAATAGACATAACAAACTAAACACCATACTAATGGTTTGGAAGCTCAATTAGTTGCACAATGACAAACAAAAACAGGAACCCTGTAGTTAAAATGCCATCCATTAAAATCTTACTCACAGTGGCACTCAATCGAAACTGGAACGCACATCAATTAGATGTTTCAAGCGCCTTCCTACATGGATAGATAATTGAAATAGCACACATGCATTAACCTAAGAGATTTCAAGATTAGCAACACACCAATTATGCCCGTCTCCTTCAAAAAGAACCCTCGACAATAGTTTCAAACATTCTCCAATCATCTTCTATCTCTTGATTTCAAGTTCAGCTCAACTACATCTATATGGTAGAGATAAGGTATGCCTCTACAAATTCATATACGTAGATGATCTCTTAATCCCATCCATTGATGATACAATCATCTCCTAGCTGTTACAAAACCTGCATACCAAACTTAGCATGAAAAACCTTGGGCCTGTAACCAACTTACCGAGTATTCAAATCCAAAGAGACTCAAACTCTTACTTCCTTACACTGAAAATTTATGCAAGGAATATTATAAATAAAGCATGAATGCTAAACTGCAACCCACTGTCCAACTTACCACCATCTAAACCAACTCTTAACGCCAAACCCAATCAAACCTTCTCCAACTTTATCTAAACCAAAATCTCACAAGTTCTCTACAATATCGAACAATAACTCCACTTGATATTTCTTTCGCAATAAACCACCCTTGTCAACATACTCATAACACTCTACCATCCTACTCCCAACTACTTGAAAGAATATTAAAATACATTAAAGGAATGATTACATTCAATTTTCCAATCACCACCGGTCCTCTCACATCACATTCCTACTCATTCACATACCTACTTAGACTCTGACTTGGGCAAGTGACTCCATTGATCGTCATTCAACTATCGAATATTGCTCTTAGCTTGGGCCTATACTAGTTTCATATAGTGTCAAAAAATAACTAGTAGTAGCTCAATCATCCACTAAGACAAAATATTGGCACCATCCACTACAACTGTTGATATAATTTGGCTTCAATGTTTACTACAAGATTTTCACATTCCAACTCAACAACCAACTGATCTTCACCATGGTAATATCTCCATAATGGCTCTAACTAACAATCTTGTGTTTCACGCTCACACAAAACACATAGAAATCAATTAGAACTTCATTAGAGAACATATTTAATCCACAAAATTAAGAGTAGTACACAACTCTTAGGATCATGATGCTAGCAACTTCACCATAAATCATTTCCTACCAATAGGTTTCAAAAACTATGAGACAAGATGAGGGTTCAACCATGAGGAGAGGTAATATCGACAACCACAATTGCAAGCAAATGTAGCAACAACCTTCATCTACCATCTCAACCGTCGAATAAAAACCACTCAAATAATCCCACCATCCACTTGTAAAGCATATCACAACCCTCTACCAAAATATTATGCTTGCCCCTTACACTCTATTTGTGCAATTTATTGTAATGGAAAAATGTGAGATTGCAGTATAAAAAAAAAGTATAAAGATAGTCCTTTTCTTTTTATTTTTTCCACTATTCTTCACACTTATTTATTGTTGTGTTTCATTTCTGTAAGAAATCTAGTTTGGATTTCTTCAATTAGCATTATCCCAACCATTTGGGATCAACATTATGAATTTTAGTTTACAGAGGGGTTGTTTGATTGGATGTTTTTAAACTATACACATTTTAGAAATACAAAGTAATTTAAATGCATGCAATTTAAAAATGTCAAAGTTGTTTGTTGCTATATGTGTACATATATTACAATCCATTTTAAATGCAACAAGTATAGGCTTAGGAGGTGATGACCGACGAAAGAAGTGGCAGCAATTAGTGACAACAATGGGAGGACATGTGTGGTGGCTATCAGCTTGAAAGGCAAGCTTGCGAGCTGTGAATTTTCGCTATATTTGGAATTCACAATATTTGTGTGAATTCTAAATTCATCAAAATGGCTATTTTGCCTATTCCAAACCCCTATACAAATACTTTGAATTTAGATTACTTAATAATATCAAGAACAAAAAAAAAAAAACCCTATACTTCTATTTACTCTACACACTTAATAACTGCAACCAAACAAACCCCTAAATGCATTATAGAACTGATCTGAAAATTTGTTAAGTAGGTGGAAAGAGCATTTCTCAAACTAAACACTTACGGGCCACCTTTCATCAGCCTAACTATGTCAAATGTCAGCGGCATATCCAGAATTATGTTGTACCTGAAATTCAAAAAAAAAAAAAAAAATCTCACTCTCAGGATTTGGCACCTTTATTAGGTCATGGTAATATTTTCTCATTAAAGCATTGAATTAAAACACACACACGCACACACACAAAGAAAGAAAGGGGAAAAAAAACAAACCTTTCGGTTACTCCAATATCATGGCAAACAATGCCTCTCTCAAGCTTGAGGTCAACCTTATGTTTAAGCTCTTTTCCATCCACTGGAAATAAACACACAAGATCTATAAGCAGCAGAAAATTAAGTAATAAGTAATTCCAAAAAAATAAAACGAGTTTAAGGAACCTGAGACAACACCGAGAACAAGGAATGGTTTCTTCCCATCCGCCCCAACAAAAACAAGCTCTCCTCCTGGCGCTTTCTGAGGTAATATCATCAAGCTCATATTTTGCTAATCAAATGCAGAAAAAAAAAAAAAAAAAACATATTAGAAACCAGCAGAACCCTTGTTATTACCTTGGGATGAGCCATGAAAGGCCGATCCCACGCTCCGCTGAGATCCCAATCGCCAATCGTCTCGAGACTCAACAAATCTATCTCCAGCGGCATGTGGTTCTCCGCGACGGCGAAGACTTTCCCAGAAAACTCCAAGACATTAGTGTTGCTCAAATCCTTCGCCATTTTCCCAAACCTAAGCTGAAAACATTTGCCCGATCCATAATGGCCGAGAAAATTAGCGACTATGGTGCAGAGAGAGAAAAATGGGTACCTTGTTGAGGAGGAAAGAGGCGAGGACGGCGGGAGCATCGCCTTCGATGAGAGGGAGGAAGGCAGGATGGTTGCGGCTGCGCTCGAGTTGGAAGGTTTTGGATTCGACAAAGCGGTTTTTATAGGAGAGTGTCCAGGCACCACCGCTGCCGACGGAGACGGCGGCGGGAGTAGCCCTGGAGAAGGAGAGGGCATGGAGCATGCCCTCGCCCTCCACCCATGTCTCACTGCAGAGGCCAAGCACAGACGATCCAGACTGAAGCGCGCCGAACAACGGATTCGATCCTGAGCCGGCGAATAAAAATATATTTTAAAAATGATATTTTCTAACGTGGATTTTCAATTATATTATTTATTTACATATTCAACCTCTATATTTTAGTATTTATATACACAACACTTAAAATCATTTAAATAAAATAAGAAAAACACCCTCTATTTCACTCTTTCATGACACCAGTAATTTTTTTTAGTGGAGACACAAAATGGTGATTTTTCAAATAATTCATAAATATTTTTTGGGTGGTTTTTTTATTTAATAATATATAAAAAGGTAATATTTTTTCATTTCAAAAATATTAATATTTATTTTAATAATTTATTAAATTATGTATTCTATTTATTATATTAGACATAAATCTATAATTATCATATTTTACTTTAAAAATTTAAGTATTAGTTGTATAAAAAAAAGAAATTTTGTAATACATAGTGGCCCAATGGATAACATCATTTTAATTAATCGAGAGAAATGGGCTCGAATCTAAGGATTCTCGCTTATATATGAGTTACTGATTAACAATTATACTTTATGTTAATGGGCCAATGGGGGTTCATGCACCCAAGGTCCTGATTGTCGCTCCACCACTTGGTCCCATTGCCATTTGTTGGCGAAATCTTGTCGTCCTTCACTTGTTATCGAACTCGTTGCGAGTCTAAAACAAAAATATCATTATCACACCACCTCTCATCTCCATATTATCTATCCTATCGCTCATCACAAGTAAGATCCTATTAACCTCCACACACCACTAATTATCGTTGATTTTGTTGTCAGTTGTCAATCGCGGTTTCCTCATATCCTCTTTGTTCATTGAGAATAAGAACATAACTTCTTCTCCACATCGAGGATTTATAAAGTCCAATAACTTCTATTAAACAAAATGCTACTGTATGTAAAAAAAAAAAGTATGCATTAAACATATAAATATGATATTTTTATGTGTAAATCCTCCTTTTTTAAATTCATTTAAAAAAATATGAATTTAAAACTAAAATATATAGCTCAACTTAATCTAGGGATCTTATGCTCCAATCATAAAATAACAAATTTGAGATCTAATAAATATATGTAAATTTGTAATTAAATTTATTTACAAAAGAAAAATCAAATTGTCATTATGATAATTCTTATATGAAAAATTAAATTAGAGCATGACTAACTTTCATATTTAACACAAAACTAATTTATTAACATTACTAATTAGGTTATTAATTATTCAATTAACTTTTAATTATCTTTAAAAACATTATTGATTAATAGTATATAAGAGAATTTAGATATATAATTATCATTTTAATTATTATATAATTAATGTGTTTGATCAAATCACATAAGTTTCTCTTTTGTTTGCTAACCATTTCTTATGTAGACGCCCTCAGGGAAATCATGAGGGATCTCTCCTTCTATATTTGAAATGATCACCGCCTCCTCGATTTCATCCACTGGCATGAAATTGCTCTGCAGCAAATTAGAGAAAAAAAATTTTATATGCTGAAATAAATTTATTATATAAAATTTTCAAAACAACTAAAATTTAAAATAGCAAAAGTTTTACAATTTTTATTTACTAAAATAAATTTATTATATTTTAAAAATTAAAATAACTAGATTTTTAAATAACAAATATTTATAATGCTTTAAAAATTTATTTGAATACAAATAATTTAAAATAATTTATAATTTTTTAAATAACAATAAAATTTATTAGAGCAATAAGACGAGCAATAAAAAATATTATCAGAACAAGAGAAGCACCCATTGATACCCCACATCTTTAAATCAGGATAGGGATGCTAAAAAATGATCTAATTCGTCAATCTAGCATGAACCTAATTAAAAATTTTTGTAGTTGGGTTGACCCGTTTAATAAATTGACCAGATTAGAATTGGATTTTTTGACCCGTTACTAAATGGGTCGGGTTTGGATTTAACTACTGATCCGTTTTTTACTCAAAAATGCCCCATTTAGTATATTGGCTTCTTAAAATTGTTTTTTACTTGTGAGTATTTTTTTTTATCAATTATCTTAACTTTTATAGAAAAATTAAGTTATTAAAAATGGTTCTAAAGTAAAACACCTTAATAGGTCGAGTTTGAGTCATTTGGATTGCTAATGATTCGGGTTAGAGTTTTTGACCCATTTATTAAATGAGTCGGGTTCAGTAGATTAGATTCGGGTCGGACCCTAAACCCGACCCGTCACCCCGTTTTGACACCCCTAAATCAAGAACTTTTGTAAAAAGCTATGAATTTTTATTGAATCCTCCAAAATCTCAACCTATTGTTTGCCCAAATTCGAAAGGGCAATATTTGAAAAGGATCTTCTTCTAAAAATTAGATTTTGTTGCGCACGAATTATACATCAACATATATTTTATAAACTTTGTAATTCAGTTTGACATTCTAACAACTTTAAAAGTAAAATCAATTATCAATATTGTTAGCTTTCTCTATTGTACATTATGTTGATTTCCGAACTAAATAGTTATGTAGCTCTATTTATTGGCAAATTATTACATCCGATCACCGGACGCAGAGATAGGTCCTGATATTAATAAAATATTATTTTAAATTAAGCGCGTCAAAAGCACAAGAAAAGCGTAGGTAAATCGCAGACAAAGCGCAGTCAAAAGCTCAGGCAAAAGCACAATCAAAGCGCAGTCAAAGCACAGTCAAAGTGCACCTAACGCACAGTCAAAGCGCAGGTGACGTGGCAAGTTTTAATTGGATGTCCGGACCTATTTTTAGGTCCGGTGACCCGACCTAATAATTTGCCCTATTTATCTGTTGATTGGGAGCTTTGACTATCTATCAAGAGTTTTTGAATTTGAGTTTTGGATACGAGTTTATCTTAATTGTCCTAAATCTTTAGAAGAAAAAAATTGTTTGATTTTTACATCAAATCCATTAATACCAATGGACGAAAAAAAGGAAAGATCGTTTTAAACAATTACGGAAAAAAAAGAAAACCTGCGAAGGGAGCCACGGTTGATCTTCGAAATGGAAAGCAAAATCTACAAATGCATCCAGCAATCTACCAGAAGTTTTCTTGATCACTCCGGCCATATCGATTCTCGCCGGACCTCGCTGGAGCGCTCGGAGAAGAGGCTGTTTACGAAGATTTAGTTATTTGCTGACTGAAAGACCGACCGACCGATCGATCGATCGATCAATCGAACTTGTTGGTGATTGATGGGGGTTACCTGCGTGAAGGAGGAAGCGAGTTGAGCGAGCTTTAGAGATATAGAATTGATTGGAGCCCTTCGAGCCGAAGAACAGAAATGGAAGGAAGATGAAACCGCCGCCATGACTGGTTCCCTTCTTCTTCTGTTCTCTGTAGAACAGAATGAAGCTATTAATTAAGGAAGACGGAGGTGACCAAAGTTGAGTTTATATAGAGAGAACGCGAAGAAAAATTATTTCTGATTTAATAAAAATACATATCACTTAATTTAATTTAATTTATTAAACTATTTTAATAAATCAAAATACAGACATATATAATTATTTTTAATTAATGTCTCATAGATTATATTTCTCAAATGTATGTGTGGCTTTACTCTAAGGTTTCATTTGGGACAATTTTCTTCCCATTTTCTAAAGCATCTTTTTAGTACAAAAATTTTTGAATTCAAATTTTTGTACTATAAAGATGCTTTAGAAAACAGTAAGAAAGCTGCCCCAAATGAAGCCTAAGAAATAAAATGAGAAATGAGTATACACATGAAAATGCTATAGTAACTTTTGCGTCAAAGTTATAATGACCTTATTATAAGGGCAGATTTATTAGATTCGACCTATGTTAAAAAAGAAATAATTAGACCTAAGATGACTTGATTATAAAGTACTAAAAATGACATTTTATTATTAGATAAATAAGTGTTTGATTCGTAATGATACATATTTGAGAAAAAAGATTCATATAAATAACCCTACTTAGGATTCTTTTTGGACAACTTTTTCATTGTTTTACTTTTTAGATAATAATCATACCTTCATTTGGCTATTATTTTTTTTATTATTTTATAATTTCTTCTAAAAAATTTTTGTGATGAAAAAAAAAAAATACTTTTTACGATAGCAGTTATAAAATTCTACAACCATCTCAAATAAGATAAATTACTTTATGCGAAAACCGGATGCAGAACGACGTACGGAGTCCAACTAGAATGTGTCGCGTCAGTGGGAGCAGTACTGAGTCGCGGTATCAAACACAGAGTGATGTTTGACTCCGAACGACGTTTGACTTCGGCACATGATAATTAATTCTAACCCTTAGTTGCATAAAGGTCTCATGCAATTGTTGTATATTATATTTATTTGGAAACGATTTAACGTATATAAAATTTATTTAGACAAAATTTGTCCATTTGTCCAACTCAAATATTTTTCCAAATTTATTACAAAGGCACTACGGAGTTTCTTAAGCTGGCTCTAAGCTTGTCACGTATAATTTAAATTAATTAGTTTAAGCAGATTAAAAATTATTTAAATTATTCGATACATTATGTTTGATTAATTTAATAGAATTTAATGTTATTTTTTTAAAAAAATTAAATAATTTTTTATATAAATAAAATAATTATATGTAAATATAATTCATGCTAATTCATGACATGAAATATTTTATTTTATTTTATTTTTTTGTTAAAACTCGCAGAAGAGTCTACGCGATTAATAAAAAAAAGAAATAACAAGTCTTTAAAGAAACTTTCAGCTCTCTAAAAATAAAGCATTTGAATAAAAAATCTCCGAGTCGATGATTCTATCTATTACAAGAATAGGCAAAAAGAAAATAATAATAATAAAAATAGGCACACGACAACAAAGAATTACACCACAATAATTGTAAGAACCAGTGACCGAGCAGTAAATCTAATGAGCTAGCAAGGATGTGTTGTCTACATCACCACAGGCAGAACACCTGCAAGACGAAAGCAGAAAACAACCCAACAACCAACAAAAGACTAGCCCCAAACCACCAAAACCAGCCCTACATGGCTATAGGCAAGCCCCAAAACCACCAAAAATAGCCCAACATAGACAAGAGACTAGCAACAACAGATAAAAAAAATAAAGAACAAAGAACCACCCACATCCTAGCCCAATCGAAGCAAGAGGAGAACCAACAACACTCAAAGAAGAACCCAAAACCAAAACCAAAATACTATTATCTAGACTTTCTCCCATGCCTCTTTCCTCCACCACAAGAAAAGACTTTATGAACAAAACAGCTGACATCAAAACCATAAATCCCATCAACAGGATCAGCCAACTCATCTCTGTCACAACCACATAGAGAGGAAATAGACCCCTCTAACCAATCGGAAAGATCAACAGCAATACCCTTAAGGGAGGAAGGCTTGGTTTAGCCAATATTAGGTCGAATTCTGGCGGTTGTCTGGCGATTTCGACTGCCATAAAAAAATTTACTTAACACCGGCAGCTAGGCCGCCAATAATGGCTCCACGAAATAGAAAACTGGCGGCCTACCCGGGGGTTATTATACCGCATGTATTTTCGGCAGTGTATTATTAAAAAACCCTGGGTAAACAGCCGGTTAATACCGGCGGTCTGACAGCCAGTTAAACCACTGGTAATTCCGGCGGTATTTTGACCATTAGAATGACCGCCGGTAATTGTTGATTTTCCTGTATTGCTTCACATGTAACTCTAATTGAGCAAACAAAGTATCTTTTGAAATATGAGAAATAGGTGCATCGAGAACAGGCACATTAGCAACATTAACCTTAATGGCACTACAATATGTTCAGCCACAGCATAATCACCAGGACGAGACACCGAATCACAAGGAGAATCAAATACATCAACCATATTAACATCACACACACCCACATTATCAAGACCCATATGAATACCCTTAGAAGCTAATACAACAAGAATAAGAGAGGCATCAGATTAAAGATCAGCCTCATTAATTAATGACATACAATTATCCAAATCATTAACCATGCCCTCACAACCTTCATGAACAACATTAGTCACATTAACGAAAAAAGATGCATTAAGATTAATAGGCAAACTAACCCTGGGAACCAAATCCTTGCCACAACCAATGCCAACACCCTGTAAAAAAGGTAGACCCAATGGAACCAGGATATCAAGCCCAATTATAGAATTATCCACAAGTCCTTTCAAGTTTAAATCTTTTACATTTCAAATTTTACCATTCTCAACCACAATATTCATTCCCCGCTCATTAACCTCCACAACAGAAATCAAGGAAAAACCAGTATTCGGGTGGACAAAGACATAAACCTTCCTCAACTGAGGATGCAATTTAGCACAATCAAAATTTCTATGACCCACCTCTTTGCAGTGTGAGCAAAAACTAGACATACCTTTCACAATCACCTTTCGAATATAACCTAAACTTTCAGGACCAAGCCAAACAGAATCGAGGTGAGTTTTAAAAATGTCTATTTCCACAAGATTATGCACCATAGATGAACGAGAACCATCAGCAGTGACATTATCCGTGTGAATAAGCCAACCAAATATATAACCCAAGCTGAAGAGAATGCGCGGTTAGAGGAGAAGAGATGGGGGCGAAGTTCAGAGAAAGAAAGCCATACATCGACGATTGGGGACTCTTCTGATAAGTCTATAAAAGAGGACCTAATTAACTTCATAAAACACCCAAAAATAAACTAAGATCTATGAGCAAAAACCTTACCGTAATCAATATCATTAGCAAGCTTGATCAAGACATTGTTCTGATTCAATAGAGTAACAGAAAACTCACATGAAAGTTTGAGATTGAAAAAAAAAATCTAATCGTGTCAAGCACCGACCGACGAAACGGAAACTTCCCAACCAATGCATACTCAAATGTCTTAGCAAGATGAAGCCTCAGATATCCATAACGTCGGCAAATCCCTTAGGGTAGTAACTTTCAAATCAGGGAAGTCCACCGAGGAATTAGAACAACCTAAAACCTCTTTGAAGGATTTCGAGTGACACTTATCGACGAGGAAGTCATGATCGGAGCGTTTGAAGCTAGACGACATCAAGAAAAACCCAAAAAAAAATAACAAAGAAAAGAAGAACAACACCACAATACCATAAGGACCACATGAAACTTACAAAAAACCAAAAGAAGAATGGCTAGCGTGAAGCCCTAGCCGAGGAAGAAAAGGGGCATGCGAGAGCGCAATAGGAAAAAAAAGCGAGATATTTTAACAATGATGCTCTAATTTTGTCACAAGTTTATTAAAATTAGGGTTTGGGTGATCCTAATTTTAATTTTGAAAGTTTGCAATTCAATTATGGATTAAGATTAGTGCTTGATTTGTCCAAAAAAAAAGATTAGTGCTTGATTATGTCAATTTTTTATGGCGTATCTGGCTTATGAGGTGCCTCTTATTTTTTAAATTTGAAGCTCATGTTATAAAAAAAAAATAGGTTTAAAATTATAAAAAGTTTGTTGTATAAAA